CAACAAGATCATCAACAACTTTAGAACACTTTACTGAAGAACCAACAACAAACAGATGGCTGCAAATAAACAACAACACGTTAAGTAACAACAACAACAACATTGATTTCAACAACATTAACTATAGCAACGACAACAACACCAACAACGCAAGCAGTAGTACTAGTAGTAACGACAATGGCGATTGTAGTTTTTTATCAGATTCTGGAAATTTTTCAAACGCTTCTAATCAGTCAATCAGTCCATTTGAAAATTGTGATGCACAAATTGAACTACCAACAAAACAACAACAACAACGACATCCACAACAACAATCACATCAACAACATCAGCGAAAAAACCCAGAAGAAGCAAAACAAATCCAAGACCAACAACATCTTTATGATCCAATAAATACGTCACATCAACACCCATCATTACACAACAACAAACAACAACCACAACAACCACAACAACAACAAAATTTCTCTCCAGTGCAACATTTAAGTGTGACGCAACAGGTTTATTTGCCATCAAGCTGTCACGATAATCTGAGAACATCAACAAACCAATATGACATCACAATTCAACCAGATCGTAGCATCAACAACATTAACAGCATTAATAACATCAACAATCAAAACAACATCAGTAGCACCAATTGCATCAACAGCATGTTGAGTGGCGATATTTTCAATAAGTATAACAACCCTTACAACCTCAAAAACGTAATCACTAACATTGATTACATTAGCTTCAACAACAACAACACCCCCAACAACAACATCCCCAACAACAACAACTCTACCCCCAACAACAACAACAACAACAGCAACAATGTTGATGACGGCAGTTTTATGAAAGACAATTTTTCAATGCAATCATCCGTACCTTGGTATTCTGAATATAATGACAAATCAATACAACAACCACAACAATCTGCGTGTCATTTCTTTCAATATCAACAACAACAGCAGCAACAGCAGCAGCTACAACTACCACACCAGAAGCAACAACAACATTTTTTCAATTTCACGCCACAACTAGTACATCAGCAAGAGGCACATATCACATTAGACAGTAACAATTCAGAAACGATGTTTCAACAGATCGCACAGCCGAAAGACTCATCTACGCAGAAAGACCCAACAGCCACTACTGACATCTTTACTTCATTCTTCTCAACTATACAACAACAACAACAACAACAACACAACCTGCAACCATACAACTTAGACCAGCAACAACAATTCATTCAGCAACAACAAATGAAAATGCAACCGAAGAAAAGCGCAAATACGACCGAATGCGTGTGCGTTCCCAGTTCTGAGCACGTCGCTGAGATTGTCGGCAGGCAAGGTTCGTAATGAACAAGCCTTAATTTTTTTTATTCAATTTGATGTTTTTGATTAAATTGTGATGTTGAGATGATAGCAGGGACTGTGTAAATTATTTTCAAGTTATTACATTTTTGTAGCACGATAAACTTTTTTTAAAATAATATTGCCTTTGTACGTGAAAAGAGTTTTTGAAATTTTTTTTGTTTTTTTCAAAGAAGATTTAGTTCTTATTTTGAGAACAATTCTCACTGCGTTCAACTTGCTCCGGTGCAAGATGTGTGGAACATAACATCGCAGATACAAGAAAATGTTTTGATTCTATGAACAATAACAAAAACAAAAATACTAATATTATTACAAAAAAATCAAACACATCATTTTTTTCTGTTTATTATTAACAGCTGAAGTTGCAGTAGTACTAATTTAAATTTATTAGTATTAAGTGGTAGTAGTAGTGAGTGGTAGTAGTGGTAGTAGTAGTAACGGCAGTAGTGGTGGCCGCAGTAACAACAGCAGAAACATAGTAGACAGTTTTTGTTGTTAAGATAGTTATTGTAATGTATTTATTGCATATTTAGTACGGACTACCTCAGACACAAATTTGATACTTTAACGAGTTCAGCCCCACTAAACCAACCTTCACTGCTAAAAAATAAATCTTTTAATGTTTCCCGCAGCACTTTTTCGCAGCAATTATGCATCTATTTTTGTTCATCTTTTTACACTTTGTGGAATTTTTTTCGCCGTTTGTTGTTTTAGAAAATGAAAGTGAGCATTTGCAAAAAAAATACTCAGTAATTAAGCTTCATTTGTTTTGAAGTCTGTCTTAAACGTAGCATGGCAAAATGATTGAGAAGGCAATGTCATTAGCCCTGCTCACATTTTTTATTTTCTCTTAAATTTTTGACTTTTAAATAAATATTTTTCTCTTTTTTTTTTCAGTGATAACATTTTTCACATTTTTCTTTTTGGTTGTTAATCCACTAATAATTTTTGTTTTACAACTCGTTTCCTTGCACTGCGACGTTCAGCGTAACATTTTCGTAGCAACTGCAAACTTTTCTTCTCCTCCTCAATTGAAATGTTGTTTTGTTGTTCTTCTTCAATGTTTGGAGGTCAACTTTTGTGCCCTGCCGTGTCTAGGCAGCTTTCACTTTTTTGATCTAAATTTCCGAAAGGAGTCTGTGTAAAAAACAAAAAAAGCAATGAAAACAAACTGAACGCAAAAATTTAGACGGACGAATCATGAAGGGGAAAAATAAAAAATTAAAAAAGAATGAATGACAGAAAAGCGAAAAAACGAAAAAAGGAGTGTTCAAAAAATGATAGAAAAAAAATGAATGATGAAGTGGAGAGCTAATAGTCGATGATTTTATTTGATGTTCTTGTACACAAAGAGAAAGAGAAACAAAAGAGCGTACCAGGGCGAGCTCGGTGACATCAATTGATTTTTCCTGACGGCGAAGATGACGACGACGATGCTTCTAATGATTTTGACGACGACAATACTAACAATAACTACATTAACTCCAACCTTTATTAAACACACACACGCACGTAAGTAGGATACGCGCGTACACTGTACGTACAATGTACGTGCTACGTACTTACGTGTCCACAATACGCAAATTAAAACGTATGTCTTTATTCAATCTCAGATTTTTATCTGTTTGGTACATTTATATATGTACGTACATTATTTACAGCTTATATGAATAAACTGGTATATGTTTATATATGTATGTATATATGTGTATATTTTAAATTATCTATGTGAAGAAGGATAAGAAATTTTTGTATAAAGGGAATAAATGTAATTGAAGACATTAGCACGTAGAAGATGAGACAAATATTGAAGTCGTGAATTCTAGGAATGTCCTCCATAGATACTTCTTCATTTTATAATAATACCCTTATAAACTTTTTACAGCATGTCCTCATTCAACTCACTTTAATGTACAAATTATAAGAATAAACAAATAAATATTTAAATAAACAATTTTTTACGAATACATAAAATTTCTTAAATCAATAAAATGTTAAAGTTTTATTTATAACGCTAGCGTGCGCCACACACACACACACACACACACACACACACATACACACACATACACACACATACACACATATACACACACATACACACACATACAGACGCACGCACACATCTGCATTGCATACAGACACGCGCAAACTGCGTAGATAAATAGAAAAAGTCAATTCAAATACATGCCGTTGGATGAGTACGTAGAAATAAACAAACACATGAAAAACATTATACACGTACAACAGTGTGCGCATTAAAACATTAACACACACATAACAACTCACACACACACACATACACACCCATACATATCAACACACACACATAATCACACACACATCAACAACACACACAAACGCATACAGACACACAGAGACAGACAGACACAGACACAAACAGACAGAGACACAGACAAAAATATTCATCATGAACGTGCATACATACGCAATCTCACAGACGCAAAAAATTTGAACCTCGGGCGTTGTTATGAAAAATTCACTAGGGTACAATAAACTTGGCTTTGATACCTCATTGTTATTTATACATCATCCTATAAATGCATGCATGCATGTATGTATGTATGTATGTATGTATATACATACGTAAGTATGTATGTATGTATGTATATACATACGTATGTATGTAAGTATGTATGTATATACATACGTAAGTATGTATGTATGTATGTATATACATACGTATGTATGTAAGTATGTATGTATATACATACGTATGTATGTAAGTATGTATGTATATACATACGTATGTATGTAAGTATGTATGTATATACATACGTATATACATACATATATAGTATGTATTGTATATTGTCTGCTCCTTTTTATGGCATAATAGGGTGGTGTAATGGTATGGCATAATGGTATGATATTGTATCGAAGAAGGCTATTCATGATTAAAATTCTCTTGTATATCAGTTTATATATACTTTAAAAGATATACGCATACTCATGCACATGTATGCATACAAGCAATCATACAAACAAACATACATACAAACATTCATACATACAAGCATACATACATATGTATTGTACATATATGAGTATGTCGTGTGTATGTGGGAGAACATGTTTATGTGTACTGTTTAGTTTTTGTTTATTGCTTTTGTTTAATGTGCTTAAAATGACAACGTATGTCGTATCATTTGTGTGTGTATGTTTGCCTGAGTGCGTGCTTGGGTGTGTGGAAGTTTTGCTGTGTGTCTGTGATTATACATGTTTTTGTGTTTGTTAATCTGTGTGTGTGTGTATGTGTATTGGTGTTTGTTTGTTTGTGTGTATGTGTGTGTGTGTGTGTGTGTGTGTGTGCGTAGATTATAGTAGAGTATAGAAACACTTTTTTTTAGTGAAAAACCTATTAGTCATTCATAATTATCTTCATGCAGATGAATGTTTCTCCATAGATAAACTTTATATGTAGATAAATGAGAAACAAACATTAGTAGCAATTTTATTTATTAATAATTAATTAATACGTTCGGTAACGAAAAAAATTGTTGTAAAATAATAACTTCATTCAATTCACAAGGCAATAACCAATATTATTATTATAATAATTATTATTATTTTTATTATTATAAGATTTATATAGTAATACAATAATAGTAATAAAAATTAATTAATAATAATAATAATGGTTATAATAATGGTAAAAACGAAAAAAAATAATAAAAATAATAATAAGAAGAAGAAAAAATAAATGAATAATAATAATAGTTATAATAATAATAGATAATAAATAGCAAATTAATGGACAGAAGAAAGATAGCGATGTTAACGTGTCCATTGCCAATCACCTTCAGCATGGAGAACATGTTCCTCTCTTTAAATAATTCCACCCAGCATGCAACTGCACAATAGATTCACGCCTGCCTTATACTAAATACAAAGATAAATGTACCTGAAATACAGGATAAATTTCCATTTATACCGAGTTAAAGTACAGTTAATATGAAGTAATACCCTTTTAATACAAAGTAGAATACAGGCGACACCTAGTAAAAGACGATTAATTTGAAAATTAAATTTACTCAACACAAATCAAAGTACAAATGATACAAGAGTACAAAAAAGTACAAAATATATTACAGTTTTACGCGACAATAATAAACTTTACTCGCTACATTTATGAGTTAGTTAGTATTAAAGTTGGGCGACAATTAACTTAAGATATTTTTTCCTCACATTTTCCGTGAGAATGCCACAAATAATATAACGGGCACTGTTCAAATTATAAGGATGAAGACGATGACATATTCATATATACAAGGAAAAACAAACATACAAAACAAACAATCTTACAAACATACAAACACACATACAAATGAATAAACATATAAAGGACAAACAAACTTACAAAAGAACAAACATACAACGAAACAAACATGCAAATGGAAAAACATACAAAAGATCAAACATACAAAAAAAAACATACAAATACAAACATACATACATCATACAAGTACATAAATAAAAATATTGACATGTGTACCTACATATCTTCCTGTCCTATTGCAAATGGGCGTACGGGCATAATTGCATACATAATGTATTTGAGTGCAAGAATTATTTTTTTCTGCATCGTACATGCTCTGGTTAGGTGTAAAAATGCACAGCGAGTCTAACTAAACACAAATGTGTGATGACGTTCATTCGTTCGTTCGTTCATTCATTCAATCGTTCGTTCGTTCGTTCATTCGTTCATTCGTTCGTTCATTCATTCATTTATTCATTTTTTCTGATCGTCTTTCAAAGCCATCAATCTTAGCATGTATGTTTTAATTCCTCTAAAAGGAGTTTCCAATGATTGCTCTGTGTGCGGAGTTATTGAAAGTAATGACTATAACACTAGTGCTGGGTAGGGTGTCATCTGGAGGATGAAACGTTTTGAAATCAGAGTAAGGAAGAGTTGCTGCTGTTGATGACGACATAGTTTCATAACGTCGTCGTCATCATCACCATCATCCTTGCCATCAGATCTTTGAAATTGACGTCATCAAATATTCCATCACCATCGTTATTATTTTCATCACATTTATTTACGATCGTGATCACGAGCATCATTTTTTTACATCATCGTCGTCGTCATCTTCCTCCTCTTCATCAACGCCGTCATCATAATCGCAACAGATTGTTGGCTGGATTCAAAAAGCAACACCCATAGTGATACAAAAAACAACATTAAACAACGTCAAATAACATTAAACAGCCTCCTAGTCATAAAATTGTTGAAACAACAACACCATCAAGAAATGTAGGCAGCATTAGCATCAACAAAACAATCAACAACACAGTAACCCGCGAAACAACATCCATAAAGTAAACATGGCCACAACGACAACATACACACACACGTTATAAACAACAACAACAACAACAACAACAAAACAAACGTAGATATTCACACATAAGCAAGACACAAACAACAGCAAAATGAACACAAACAACATAAACAACAACAAAACAAACATTTACAACAGACCGGCTGACAAGACATAAACAAACATACGCTTGGTTGGGTTTCTGCTCCGTGTCGACGTATATATACAGCCTCGATTAAACATAAACATTGACACACGTTTAGACGTTTTGTATGCATGGAAACTTGCATATGTTAATGTTTTTCTGTCTGCTATATAAAATGTTTGTTTATTAATATGTATGCATGTTTGAATGTACGAGTCCTTGGTTAAAATGTTTGAATGTGTGTATATATGTGTAAGTGTGTGTATTTGTGTTTGTTTGTATGTGTATGTTTTGTATGTTTGTAAACTTGTTCACTAGTGAAAAAATGTATTTATCTTGTTTTTCAGCTGGTTGATTTTTTTTGTGTTATAGCATTAGTGCACTTTTGTTTGCATGTTTGCATGCACGGATGTTTGTTTGTCTGTTTGTGTGTTATATATAAATAAATGTATGTATGTATAAATGAATGTATGTATGTATGTATGAATGCATGTATGTATGCATGTATGTGTGTGTGTGTGTGCGCGCGCGCGCGTGTGTGTACGTGAACAAACTTACAAACTTGCATTTTTTTATGCATCTGTCTAGACCCGATAATTTATCTTGATACTCATTTGCATACTTATTAAAGTAAACAAACAAACATACACTTACTTACACACACACGCACACACCACACACACACCACACACACACACATATACTCATACGCACACACAAACGCCCACACATATTTATTTATGATTTTTATTGTTTATATACTCGAAAAGTATATATATATTTATTTATATATTAATAACATTTGGTAAAAATCTGTGATTCTTCTTACATATTTTTTCGTGTTTTTATGCATTTCGCTGTTATTATCAATTCGTATTTCGCAGAAACATTTTATCTTTCGTCTCATTTTCAAGTACCAAAAAACTATGCACTCACATGCTTTTGTATTTGTGTGTATGTAATGTACGTATCTAAGGTGCATGCATATGTGTGTATGTATGTGTGTATATGTATCCAAATAATTCGTGTGTATGCATGTCTGTATATGTGTACATGTGTATGTATGTGTACATGCATGTTGCATAGAATCTAACACAAAAATTAAAACACACAAAAAATAAGTACACGCATACACATATACAAACGAAAATACCATCATGCAAACGTATGTATGCAAATATGTAAGCATACACACAAACATACAAATATGTCAGCATATATATACAGATATGTAGACATATATATCAATATGCAAACATACACAAAGCTTTACAAACAACCAGAAACAAACGCTTGTGCCGAATTCGAGTTTTGCTTTGCACTGAAATTCACCGATACTATTTTTGGAGAAACTTTCGAAGTAGAACAATAATGGTTTCAATTTATACTGGCTAAAAAAATAAAAAATAAAAAATTTTAACAAACATTTTTTCAACGAAATAAAGGATTGAAATGTTAAAATGCTTGCCTGCTTTCATGCTAGCTTGATTGTATGATGGCTGGTAGGTAGGTCTGTGTGTCCGTCAGTTTTGTGTGTCTGCATGTTAAAAAAATGTATGTTTGTTGTGTGTTGTTTGTTATTTCTGACTTTGCCATCAATTATGTGTTTGAGTTGATTTGTTATAACAAATTTTAGAAAAATTGAAATAAAAGAATAAAAAGCAAAGCAACAACAAACACAACAAAGACAGCGACAACAACAACACAAAAATACCAGCAGACACCATCCATACAACAACAGCAACACCACAACAACAACTGATAAATTGTAAAAACATCCTCTGCGCAATATATTTCAACGATCTCGAGTGATGAATGAATGCTTAACTGAGCAAATAAACAGACAGAACATAAAACGAAATAAAACAAATGAATAGTTATACAAACACACACAAACAAACAAGCAAACAGACAGACAAACATGCAAACAAATAAACACACTAAC